AGAGGAAGAGGGGGAGGAGGAGGGGGAGGAGGAGGAGGATAAAGAAAGGAGAAAGAAGGGAGCGGAGACCGGAGAGACGATGTCAGGAAGCGAGAAGATGCTGTTGAAGGTGAAGGCGAGGGTGTAGCCGTTGGCAAAGAGATCGATGCTGAGATCTGTGAACTCGGCGATTCCCTAAGGTGAAACGAGATAAGAAGAGACGAGACGAGACGAGGTGAGAGGAGAGGAGAGGAGAGGAGAGGAGAGGAGAGGAGAGGAGAGGAGAGGAGAGGAGAGGAGAGGAGAGGAGAGGAGAGGAGAGGAGAGGAGGGGAGGGGAGGAAGGGAGGGTGAGCAAGCTGAGAAGGGAGAGGGAGAGGAACACGACAGTAGGGGACGAGGGGATGGTGGGGTGCAGGGCAGGAGAGGGAGGGAGAGAAGGTGAGGGAGCATGGCGAGGAAGGAGGTAAGAAGCGAGAGGAGAGGAGGAGGAAGAGATGTTCAATCCTCACATCTTTCGACTGAGCTGTCAAGCCGGAGGCAGACGTCAAACGTCCCCCACCCGCGTTGTCTTTGATGCGAGCTGTGACTTGTCCGCGGGTCAAAGTCGAGATTTGACCGCTGCAGTCGTGAAACTCGATGACAAACGGGGACACGAACGGCTCGAGCGCCACGACTGACGGCGGTGGATTCCTGATGAACATCCTCGACGCCTTCCGCTGCATCGTTACGTTCCATGTTGCGCTGCGAACCGTTGGGTCTCCAGTGGAGGAGGAGAAGTTGAGCTGGTAGAAGGGGAAGGGAGCGGGAAGGGAACACGCGACATCCAAGCAGGCGGGACAAGCTTCGAACTGCTGCGCGAGCCCGTTGAGACACTTGCACGCGTCCTGGGAGGGAGGAAGAGCGAAGATGGCAAGATCGGTGAACGTCGCCGTGCCAGTGACGAGCGAGAGCGTCTGAGCCCCAAAGATATAGGAGGAGGAGGAGGAGGAGGAGGAGGAGGAGGAGGAGAGAGCAACCTTTGCCTCCACCGGGCAGTCCTGAGGAGCAAGGGGGTCACACTTTGCCTTGGTGGAGCAGCTCGTGTAGCAGTCGGAGGAGACGCGGTTGCCGCGCGCGTCGGAGATTTGGATGGTGGGCTGGAGGGGGAGGAAGTTGGAGTCGGCGATGACTGAGGAGGCGTTGAGGACGAAGAAGCTCCTGGGGGCACCGTTGACGACGGAGAAGGAGGAGGAGAGGACAGAGATGTTCTTCCCTGGAACGGAGAAGCGAAGCTGATACCCTCCTCCTGCTCCTGTCACGAACAAGTCCGTGAAGTCTATAAGTCCAGCTGTTGCCTGGCTGGTGGTTCCCCTGCTGAGACTCTGCGGGGTGCTGGCCTGCGCCTGGAGGAGGGAGACGTCGATGGGGGAGGAGGAGAGGCCGAAGCAGGCGATGGAGGAGCAGAAGGAAATGAGGTTGAGGAAGCGATCGAGAAGACGAACAGTCGCAACAAGCGGCTGGTCGGCAACGTTGACCGCCACAGGACATCGGAGGCAGTTGCTGATGAGACCTGCAGTGAGCTCAGTAGCAGTCCCTCCATCATGACCAGGGACATCATCATCTCTACTACCACCACCACAAACACCACCACCACCACCACCACCACCACCATCATCATCATCATCATCATCATCATCATCATCATCATCATCAACAACAACAACAACAACAACAACAACAGCAGCAGCTGCTGCAGCTGTTGCAGTAGCTCCTCAGGGGAATGCAAATCACCTGGATCTCGTACCAACTCCAGACTACACGCAAAGGTGTAAGTCATAAGACACAGAAAGTTAGAAAAGAGGGAGGTGGTGGAGGAGAAGAAGTGAATTTAGACTGAGTAGAGGTAGAAGAGGTAGAAGAGGTAGAAGAGGTAGAAGAAGAAGTAGTAGTACACGAAGTAGAAGATGTAGAAGGCTTACCTGGACAAGGACCCTGGACTGACAATGAACTTCGTGGAGAGAATGAAGTCCGAACTCAATGTGAGAACAGTCTGTGACATTGTCATGAAAACCAAGGTTAAGGGGAAGAAGACGTGGAGGAGGAGGAGGAGAGCTGGACAAGCAAGACTGGCAGCAGAGGATGGAGAGAGGAGGGGCGAAAGAGTGGCAGGTGTAAGAGATTGAGAACACGAGGGGTCGGACTATCAAGAACGACAAGCAAACAAATCGTACTGAATTATCGCATCACAACGAGAGAAAACGAACGAAACAAGACGAACAGGAAAGTCACATCAACAAATCAAACTTGACCTGCTTAAACGCGAGGAACAAGTCTTGCCTTGCCACTGTCACTCGCAGGTCTGTGAACTTTGCCGTGTTGCCGGCGAAGACCGAGGTTGTCTTGCCCTCGAGCCCTTCCCATCTCATTACACACAACAACATCAGACGACAAGCTTCACCGAAGGGCTGAGAGCTCTGGAACTGAGACGAGAGGCAAGCCTGATAAGAAGGTGAGAAAAAGATGATGATAAGATGCGTCAGAAAGTCAACAGCAGCAGGTGAGACAGGAAAGTCAACAGCAGCAGGTGAGACAGGAAAGTCAACAGCAGCAGGTGAGACAGGAAAGTCAACAGCAGCAGGTGAGACAGGAAAGTCAACAGCAGCAGGTGAGACAGGAAAGTCAACAGGAGCGGGTCAGACCGTGTTGTTGCAGAGGCAGGCTGAACTTGCTCGAGCTGCTGCGTCTGACCCGTCAACGCACAACACCGCAGACACCTGCTCTCCCCGTCAACTACAACTCGAACAACGTTGTACCCTCCTCCTCCTCCTCCTTACCGTCACTGCCGGCAGACTTGTGTCGGACAGGACCGTTGGGTTGCCATACTGGTCACTGAACTGGATGACAGGAGCTGGGGAGAGAGCTGGGAACGTATTAAAAGTCTATGGTGACACGACACGACCACCTCTTGACTGCAGCCCATCGATGTAACTTGTCACGAGGGGTTCAAGGAGCATCAGGTTGGTAGCGGATCCCTTGTGTCAAAGTTATTCTCTGCTCCATCTCTGTCAACATCGCAAACTACCGGCAAGATGTCAAACTGAACACTGATGCTGTTGAACTCGATTTGCTAAGGTCGCAGGGCTCGCGGTCAAGTTTGACATCTCTGACTTCAGTCTCCTTACCGACACGTCGTACTCGAGGACCTTGACACTGAGCGAGTATCGTCCAGCCCTACTCGAAGTTAGTATCTTGATAATGATTGGACCTCCTCACTTGGTAACTGTTGCATTCAGAAATTCCGCGTACCCGCCCGATGGCATCGTACATGCCGTACTGAGAGCAAATCTCACTCATCCACGATAAGAATAAAGAGAACACAAGTTCATCAGCCACTCGACACATGCAACAACATCATATCCAGTCACATGTCAATCACATCCAAATGATGTTCAGCCACATGTCACACATAACATCATGGAAGTTAGTGTCTTCACCATGTGGTTGTACTGCAAGCGCAGCAAGACGAGTTTGACTCAACTGAAAACCTTCACAACAAGTCAAGATATCAACATGGACAGCAATGCTGCTTCCATACGGATATAAGAAAGAACAATCTGTTTGCTGACAGCATGACCGTGGTGATTTCTCGACTTGAAATTTCTGCAGAGGCAAGTCAAGCAGGAAAAACAGCAAAGTGAAGGAAAGGAAACCTGAACACGTTGTTGTTCATCCAACAACGTGGCAAACACTGGAACCCTGCAGGCACCGATCTCAACTACTCCTGCTTACAAGACTACCTTCTAGGCATCACCTAGCGTTGACCAGTGTGTTGTTGTCACTGTTTCTGAGAAATGCCTTTGGCGCTGGGTTCAAATATTGACCCTGCAGTCACAGCAACGGCTCAGAGAGGAAGTAAGAATGAGATCGTCGTTGACTTACAGCGGTCCAGGAGGTCACGAGGAATTGCTGATAGATGCTAGCAACCGGTTTCTAGATCAAACTTTCATGTTTCTTACAAGCATCCAAACAATTGCAATCACATCAACAAAGAAGCTTGACGACAGCGCTTCTGCTGGCGTCCCGTCTACAAAGAAGCGCAAGGTGCAATTTTGACTTTGACGGACTGAGAGGTCGGTGAACTTGACCAACCCTCCTGACGTGATGTACGACGGTTTGCCTCCCAGGGGTACTCTTGATACCTCTTCTACCTTTACCGTCACCAGGCCACCTGACGCGACATCTGACACCAGCACTTGCGGCTGCTCATGCCATCAGCGTGGGGGTAGGAGACGTGGAGCACGGACCTGGTCGAGCATGGCGAGCAGTGCGACGGCTCTACCCGGCTGCTGGGATACTCGGACACTGACAGCCTGAACTTGTACCACCATGCACAAGAAAAATGCGGCAAAAGCTGTCGAGCTCGCATGCAACATCGTTCCCATCTGACAAGCTCTTGAGCTTCTCTCCTACCTATCTCATCACTTGTCCTCTCTCCGTCACCTGCTTCTATCTGCAGTGCACTTTCCTCTCAAAACTTTCTACCCTCCATCCACCCTCCTTGGTACCTTTCTACTCTCCTCGCGCCCTCCTCGGACTCTAGCTCGCTCTCCTCCTCACTTCAGGCTACTCTCCTCCGTCTCTCCGTCTCTCTCCTTCATCTCCTCTTCTCCTCTTGCCTCTGCATCCCGACTCTTCCCCTCAAGCACTACCCTGCCACCCCGATCCACTACCCCACATGATACAACAATACCCACCCCCTGAACTTTTTCTACCCCTACAATCATCTGTAAAACCACCCCCTCTTCAAAGAACAAGAAATGCCACCCCGCGACCATCCGTGTGGCACCACCCGTCATGAAAAAAAAGTCAAAACCCCTCACCGAGATTTCACAAGCCGATTGACGTGCCTGTATTTTTCACGAAAAGAAAGAAAGTTTCGTGTTGAAGTAATTCACTGCAAAGTGAAAGTTTTGAATGAAGTTGGCGTGCTTCACTAGAGATCAAGTGTCGAGCCACCCTCTACCTAGTCTTTCATCCCATGGAGCGTGGAAAAAAGACAAAACAAACGAATCGAACACAATCACTCTGACAACAACCTCCGAGAACAAGGAGGGCTGAGGCCATGGAAATCAAAACAATGGCCCTCCTTTCACGTGAGGAGATACGGTATCGTCGAATGTTTCAACATCCCTGATCAGCACATGAGGGGTTCAATCCAAGCAATCTCTGTTTCAGGACGTTGTAATAAAAACCAACGTGGAGATCTCGGACCAACATCGCAGTGGTACACGAGACAGCAGGGAGCCAAGGATAGCCCCCTTACCTCAGGTACACAACACACACATCGTATCATCCACCATATGATGCAGTCAAGACGAGGTCGTCCTCTCTGACTTCTTGACAAGCGTCCAGCAAGATCGTCGGCGGCTCGAGTGCACAATCATCAGCAACCTCAACCAATGAAAGCGTGAAACAATCCTCACAAACAGTCGCCCAGTCTTATCCCCAACTCAATGATCACGCGTTCCTCCTTCGAGCTCTTCCATCGTCCTTCGTATCTGCTCCAGTGTGTCTTGTAGCCCCTCCGCCCCCGCCTCTACTTGCCTCCTCACCAGCCTCTCCGCGCTCCCCGGCCTCAGCAGCCGGCTGATCGCCGACCGGCTCTTCCCGTACAGCCTCGCCAGGTCCCACTGCTGGACCGCCCGCCGGCGCTTGGACGTCTCCCCGGAGGAGTAGTAGAGCCTGACGATGTCGGTCTTCTGCTGAGAGGTGAGGCGCTTCTTGCCCGTGCAGAGGGCGCTGTGCTGGATGCGGGCGTGGAGGGTCCAGCGGGAGCTCGCAGGCAGAGCCTCCTGCCCAGCCTCGCAAGGCGGCGACCAAGGCGAGGCCGGAGGTAGGCCAGCGTCAGCGTCAGGCCAGCAGTGGTCGGGGAGACTCAGGGAGCCGTCGGGGGGAGGGAGGAAGAGGGGATAGCCTACAGGAAGGAAGTCGGGGAGGGAGGGGGGCGGGAGGAAGAAGTCGGGAAGGAGGGCGGGGAGGGAGCCGAGGTCGGAGAGGGTGTCGGCGTCAGGGGGAGGGGGGAGGAGGTCGAGGGGGGAAAGGAAGGGGATGGGGAGGGAGAAGACGGAGGGGGTCATTGGAAGGAGTAGGGGAGGGAGGGTCTGTGGATGAGTGAGGACGGAGGAGGGGAGACAGGACGCAGTGGGAGGAGGGTCAGGAGGTCTGTGTTGAAGGGAGGAGCCAAGGATGGATAGGTGGGCAGGACTGAAGTAGAAGTAGGAGGATGGACAACTCGAGGAATTGAGGAGGACAGGAATATTTACCACTGATCCCGGTTTTTTTTCCTCATGCTACAATGGGTAGAGATTGACTTGTCATCAAGTTACGTTCGTGTTCCCGGACATCAACTTTACCACACAATCCAGCAACTGATCGGACCCTAGCCTGATCGGACCCTAGCCTGACCTCTCCCGGAGGTGCGCCAAGGGGTGCAAGCCCTCCTGACAAGCGCAGCATGACAACTGTGGGGGAGGCCTGAAGATTCGAGGCTGATGCGGAAGGAAGGGGTTTACTTCCAGGCTGACGGTGTTCCACAGCACCACGTATGCTGCTGACAACCGTTCAACGGCCGCGGCCCTACGATTTCCAACCACCCCCTCATGTCTCTTGCATCATTGGGGGTATCGGGGGTCTGACCCTTGTCAGGGCTCACGCTTCTTCGGAAGATTGATAATAATCAACCGCCAAGTAGACGCATGTCCTAAAACGTTTTAAAGTCTGTCCTTGTAAAACCGTTGTGAACCGTGACATGACACAGTAATGGCTAGTACACAATCCCTTCTTCTCCCTCGCACGCTCGTCTCGTCCCGTCGCCCATCATCACCAGACCCGTGTTTCTCCCACTGGCTCTCCACCACGGGTCCTGGGTCACGACGATGGTCCAAGCCTTGTATCACCCGCCCTGCCCGCCCTCCTCCCTCTCTCCCTTGCTCATTCGTATCTCCTGCCTCAGTAGCCGGCTGATCGCCGACCGGCCCTTCCCGTACATCCTCGCCAGCGTCAGGCCAGCGGTCCGGGTCGTCGGGGAGACTCAGGGTTCGGGGAGGGAGTCGGGAAGGAGGGCGGGGAGGGGTCCGAGGTCCGACGGTCGGAGAGAGGGTCGGCATCAGGGCCCCCGGGAGGAAGAAGGAGGTCGAGTCGCGGAGTCGAGTGGGGAATGGGAGGGGAAGACGGAGGGGGTCATTGGAAGAGGAGGGGAGGAAGGGTCTGTGTATGAGGGAGGGGGGTCAGGAGGTCTGTGTTGAAGGGAGGAGGGAAGGAGGGAAGGAGGGAGGCAGGACTGAAGTAGAAGTGAGAGGATGGAGAACTCGAGGAATGGAGGAGGACAGGAATATTCACCATCAATGAATCTTGCTTGTCACCTTTATTTTAGGTTATTACAAATGCCAAGGAGTTGGGTTTTTTACTACTTTGACTGTAGGTCATAGGAGACGACTAGGCCCTAGGAAGAGGGTGTAGGGGGCTTAGACGGTGTGTCAGCAAGTTAAACGTATAGGAACACATGACGTCAGTAGTCCGGGGGAATCGAGGACAAAAATTCATTGTCTATAATAATCAACTGCTCCGTCCTCCACACCATCACCTCCTACCATCACCTCCTCCTCTTGGTCTACCCTCAGTCCCTCAGAAAACTTCGCCTCCTACCTCAACCTCCTCCTCCCTAACGGATCCGAATCCCTCTTCCTTCCCAACGATCCTCCCTCCCCTCCTCCTTCCAATGTCCCCCTCCGTCTTCTCCCTCCCCATACCCTTCCTTTCCCCCCTCGACCTCCTCCCCCCTCCCCCTGACGCCGACACCCTCTCCGACCTCGGCTCCCTCCCCGCCCTCCTTCCCGACTCCCTCCTCCCGCCCCCCTCCCTCCCCGACTTCCTTCCTGTAGG